AAGTTCCAGGACAGCCAGGGGTACACAGAGAAACCCTGTCTCAAAAAAACAATAATAAGCCGGGCATTGGTGGTGCACACCTTTAATCCCAGCATTCTGGAGGCAGAGGCAGGCGGATCTCTGAGAGTTCGAGGCCAGCGTGGTCTCCAGATCCAGTGCCAGGACAGGCTCCAAAGCTACACAGAGAAACCCTGTCTCGACCCCCCCCAAACAACAACAATAATAATAAATAAATCAGTACTTAATGCCTATGACCTTTGGGGGTTAAGGGAGATTTGTATTTGTTTTTGTATTTTTTTGTTTGTATAGAGTTTGTTTTTTTTTTGTTTTGCTGTGTATTTTTTTTTAAGGCAATGTCTTACTATGTAGCCCAGGCTGCCCTAGAGCACCCTTTGTCACAGACCCTAGTCTAGAACTCCCAGAGATACAGTTGCCTTTGCCTTCCAAGTGCTGGCCCAGAAAAACAATGTATTCTTTCTCAGGGATCTGTGGGTTGAATTAGCCACTCTCTTGTTTGCTGTCCTGTTTGCTATTGGGGCTGAAGTCTCAATGGAAGTAGAAAATCCAGAAGGATCTTGAGTATCTGGGCCTGGGTGCAGACTCTGTCTCAGCCCCCACCCTCACCCCCACCCTCACCCCCACCCTTCATGTGTCTTTCGTCTGAACTTCCAACATGGAGGCAAAAGCACTTAAGAAGGCAAGGGCCTCTTGGGCTTTGCGCCCTGGAGTCCATCCGATAACATGACTTCCTCCACGCATTATTACTCTGAAAAAAGACAAGGTTCAAGTGGTGAGATAGACTATTTCTTGACAAGAACGTGGGACAATTGTAGCAATGCATTCTTTCTCCCTATTTATTTTGTTTTATGTGCATGTGTGTTATCCGGCATGCATATATGTGCACCACATGAGACTTGGTTATCTGCCAATGAACCCGGGACTCTTCCTGTTGCCTTTCCATTGCTGAGATTACAAGAGCTGGACTCCACATGAAGCCTTTGGCCGGGCACTGGAGATCAGACTCAGTTGCTCATACTTGAGGGTCGAGCACACTACTGAACCATCTCCCCGGCCCTATTGATTTTATTTTGATTATACTTTAGTTTGTTTATGTGTTTGTTTTTGAGACAGGTTTCTTGTTACCTATGCTGGCCTCAAACTTGCTGGAAAATTGAGAATTGGCTTTAAACTCTGGGTCCTGTTGTCTCCACCTCCCAAGGGCTAGGATTACAGGGTGCAGTTGGGTCTCATTTACTTACACACACACACACACACACACACACACACACACATACACACGTATATACAATATACATATATATATGTATACTTATTTGTAGTGGTGGTTGTATTCCTGGGAATTGTATATAGGACCCACATATTCATTCAAGGCAAGCTCTGTCCTACTGAGGCTGAGCTATGTCCCTATCTAGTTTTTAAATTTATATTTTGAGGGGCCTGTTGGCATGGCCCAGCAGTTAAATATATTTACTGGTCTTCCTGAGGACTCTGGTTCAGTTCCCAGCACCCACATGGCAGCTCACAACCATCTGTAACTCCAGTTCCATGGAATCTGATGCCCCCACGTGGTGCACATATGTGTATGTGGGCAAAGTACTCATACACATAAAAGAAAAATAATAATTCTTTAAACTTGTATTTTGAGACAGGGTCTTACTAAGTCACCCAGGCTGGCCTTGAATTTACAGGCCCAAGTTGGCCTAATTCAATGAGTCTCCTGCTTCAGCTTCCTAAACAGGGCCACTAACTACTACAGCTGGTTTTGTGTGAACAGCAGAGACAGCAGGCCTGCCACCACACTGGGACTCAAAGAATCCTTTTTTTTTTTTTTTTTTTTTTTTGAGACCAGGCTGGTCTGGAACTCAATCATTTTAAAGCTCAAGTCTGATCCTATGGGGCTGGAGAGATGACTCAGAGGTTAAGAGTACGGGCTGCTCTTCCAGAGGTCCTGAGTTCAATTCCCAGCAACCACATGGTGGCTCACAACCATCTGTAATGAGATCTGGTGCCCTCTTCTGGTGTGTAAGCATGCATGCAGATAATTGTATACATAATAAATAAATAAAATTTAAAAAAAAGAAAAAGAAAAAAAAAGTCTGATCCTACCATTTTCCCCCAAGCTAAAACTTAATTGCATTAATTTATCTACTCAAATAACTCTGTCTTCAAAGCCGCCGACACCTATAGTCTCGGCTATTGCATTAGTTGAGGCAGGAGGATATCTTTGGTGCTCAAGTGGAGCAGGGTGCTCAAGGATAACCAAGCAAGGCAGCAAGACTTTCAATTTCCACATCAACCAGAAAGGGGAGTGGTGTAAAATATCCTTAGCACAGTATAAAGCCTACTGGTATTTGCAGGGTCTGATAAATAGTCATAGCAGGGGGAGACCCTGTATCTGACCTCTTCTTGTATGTTAATTCACCTTGCTTAACTCTTACAGTACCCCCTGTTTTCCAGCCCCTTGTCCAGCACTTTCTCATGGCCTCTGACACCCCCAAAGTGATTTCCTTAAGAATATGTCTCAGGGGTTTGGAGAGGTGGCTCAGAGGTTAAGAGCAACCACCTCACCACCTTGAGTTCAATTCCCAGCAACCACATGGTGGTTCACAACTGGTGCCCTCTTCTGGCCTGTTGGCATACATGCAGGCTGAATACTGTATACATAATAAGTAAATCTTTTTTAAAAAATGGCAAAACAAAACAAAAAACCTCCATTCTCGTCGGGCATTGGTGGCACACGCCTTTAATCCCAGCACTCAGGAGGCAGAGGCAGGTGGATCTCGGTGAGTTCAAGACCAGCCTGGTCTACAAGAGCTAGTTCCAGGACAGCCTCCAAAGCCACAAAGAAACCCTGTCTCGAAGAAAAAAAAAAAAAAAAAAACCTCCATTCTCATTAGCTTATAAAAGGAGAGACAAAGAAAGACTGTATGAGATTCAGATTCACACTGTGCTTCCTAGAGCAGTACAGGTTGTTTGGAGCCACCAGTGCCAGGGAAAAGTAGGTAGGAGACTTGGCTCATTTAGTTGAAAATAAAAAAAAAAAAAAATCCCGCTCTCAAAGATTTTACATGATTTTAAATCCGGCGTGGTGGTGCACATTTTTAATCCTGGCACAGGTCGGAAGATATCTATGAGTTCAAGGCCAGGCTTGTTTATATAGCCAGTTCTAGGACAGCCAGCCAGGGCTACATAGTAAGATCCTGACTTAAAAGAAAAAAAAAAAAAAAGTCTATGGGATCACATAGACTAGCCAAGGACTACAACAATGAAGAGTCGTGTCTGTATGTGTGTGTGTGGGGGGGTGAGATTATTGTCAGCTGTTGCAGCTGCTGGGGGCTTAAGCAGCTGTTCCCTAGGCAGCTGCAGTGTTTAGCCC